AGTGCGGATGTTGCCTGTAATCCATGGCTTCTGGTTGGGGTATGTACGAACAGTCATTGTGGGGACGATGTCATCGATGCACTTATTGATTAAACATTTTTAAAAATTGATGAAGCCAGTGACTGATGTGGTGTACTCCTCAATGCCATCGGAAGAATCCCAGAACATATTCCAGTCTGTGCTAGCAAAACAGTCCTGTAGCTTAGCATCTGCTTCATCTGACCACTTTTGTATTGACCGGGTCACTGGTGCTTCCTGCTTTAGTTTTTGCTTGTAAGCAGGAATCAGGAGGATAGAATTATGGTCAGATTTGCCAAATGGAGGGCGAGGGAGAGCTTTGTATGCATCTCTGTGTGTGGCGTAAATGTGGCCTAGAGTTTTTTTCCCCTCTGGTTGCACATTTAACTTGCTGGTAGAAAGGTAAAAACTGATTTAAATTTCCCTGCATTAAAGTCCCCGGCCACTAGGAGCGCCGCCTCTGGTTGAACGTTTTCCTGTTTGCTTATGGCCGTATACAGTTCATTGAGTGCGGTCTTAGTGCCAGCATCGGTTTGTGGTGGTAAATAGACAGCTACGAAGAATATAGATGAAAACTATTGGTAGATAGTGTGGTCTACAGCTTATCATGAGATACTCTACCTCAGGCGAGCAAAACCTCGAGACTTCCTTAGATATCATACATTTGGCAGTCTTGCGATTCATTCCATTTCCATTTGGCTAGCTAGTCTGACACCAAAGCCAGCCAACTAAGCTAATGTACAGACCGTCTGGTTAAGTAGCCAATAGAAAAAAAGCCTGTATATCATGTTCATTGATTGGGTTAAGATGAACCGTCACTCCAAAACTAGTGGACCAATGGAGACGCATTGTCTACGCCTCCCTCTAAACCCCGCCCTTCACGAATAAAAAAAAAGCCAAAACTCACAATTGAAAATACAGGCAGTGAAAGCAAAGATATGAGTAGTGTAACCAAAATGTAGTACATAAAGGCAAGAGCGTAGGCAAAATGGATTCAATAGGATTGGTTTTTGGGAAAGTTGAACTTAAAATGGTTTTTGCATTCGTTTTCAAATATTTATTTTCAATAATTTGTCAGAGGTTTGCTCTCGCTTTAAAATTATTTGCTTACAAGTTTCAGGGTTTTGCTTTTGATATTTTTGTTTACAATTCTATACATTTTGCTTTCAACATCCATTATTTCACACTTCATCGAAAATATGTTTACATTTAACTTTATTTTTCATGTTTACTATTTATTTTATTTTAAATTCAATACATATGGCGTGAAATTTGCCCCATAACTGGGTCGAGGTAGCCTTACTGCAGAAATGTGCTGAATTAATTGAGGAACATAACGCTAGGAATTTATGAACGGCCTGTTTCGCAATTCACAACACCAACCAGGTTTCCATCTAACCTTTTTATGCGAGTAAAGTACATGTCAGATAAATGTCATGACAGGCCTGATGGAAACAGATATGTTTTCAGTAAACTTTCCAAATGTGGACAAACCAAAATACGCTAAACAAGGTGGGATCTTTTTGTGTCGGTAAGATTAATTATGCGACAAATGTTGGTGTTAACACTTGTATGCGCAAAAATCTATATAATAACCATAATATCGAAGTATACTTGGAGTCACACGATGACGTGTGGTCCTCCCACCGACTAAGTCGGGAAAGTATTCAGTTTATTAGGCTACAAATTAAATAAATTATGAACTGCTTCACAGGGTGGTGAAAGTGCAAGGTGCTTGATGCTCCTTTACAATAAATATCGAGGGTCCTATTCTGGTGACATGATCTTCGATGATTGGCTGCCGTTTGACAAATAAAAATATTATTGCTATTTTGTCCATAAAAATGTCATCATGTAGGCTATACATGTGCTCAGATATGCACGTGCCAATAGCTATATAACTCAACCATCAGTAGAGTTTAAAATACAATGGAAACCCATTTAACTTGTATTTTTTAGTCGGTACATTGGAATTTAACCGCAAAACGTATCTTTTTGTGCACTACATTATCACGCACAGCCTTTTATCTGCAGCAAGTCAATTTGGTGGGAAAATGCACATTGTTTTTATGCAGATTTTAGAATATTTGCATGAAAATCTGTCTCCAATTGGATGGAAACCTAGCTACTAGCTATGTTTCCATTAACTTGTCCAGTGATTTATTTTGTGGACATTTAGAAAGTTTGCATAGAAAATAGATGCGACAATTGCCTGCTAGTGTTTCTGCTAAAACCTACAGTGTCAAATAAAAATGTAGTGGTTGAAGTGTTTCCATTCAGGCAAATTGCGCATTAATAAATTGGCGACAGCCTGTATGCCTCCCAGCTATCTGTTTCATGTAGCCTGTGAAATCCAGCATGGATAGAATGCAATAGTTGACTAATATTTGCCATAATCAAATAATTCTCATCGGCTGCCTAGGCTAGTCAATGCCATGGTGAAACTTGTAGATCTGAAATAATTGGATGGCGAAACTTGCCAGCCAAACCAGAAAAGGAAGGCGAAGCATTCTTAAATACCAGGATAATCCTTGTCCTGCAAAGAAACATTTTTATAGTTGAAAAAATATACTTTGCAAGCAGTAGGCATTTTAATTAAATGTGGAGTGGAGCTTATAGTCACGTGTGTTGGTGGACACATAATTAGGAGAGGGAGTACAAAACCAACGACGCTAGACAGAGAGGAATTTGCTTAAGCAAAAGGCAGTTTATTAAAACAGAGATAGCTGGTACTGCTCAAGCTACATGCATGGACCCAACCAATTGCCTCTTAAGGAGACAGTTGAGAAAGGATGATTAAAACAGAGTTTACAGCATTACTTTATACAATGTAACATAAAGGAAGGGGTCCTTCTTCTAGTCCCTTGATTGGTTCCCGAGGCGTAGGAGGCGGGTCTGCTCTGTCCAGAGCAGATGCCCCATTGGTGCACGGCAGAGTCCTCTGCCCTTGGCACCCGACCAGTAGAAGGCTTCATCAAGTGTGCGTCCACAGTGAGATGTCTGTGTGTGTCAAAGGAAACTCGTGAGAAGCAACTGGTGGGGGCCTTGGGCCTGAGGTGTGGGTGTTGTCCAGTTATCGTACTCCTGTAAGATTAGGCCATCTGGTGCTCTGTTCTTTGTTCGCTACTAAAATGTTATGCACAGACAACTAACACACTGTTAGTATCAGACACATGACACAGAACATTTATTGAAAACAAGCTCCTAACACAATTTGTCTTGCACAACCTCTTGCACAACATATTACTCAGATCAATCTATAACATTTTATATTTACTACGACACGTGCCCCACGTACCTTTAAACATTTTCAATCATTATTTGAAAAAACTTCCCATCATCATTTGTCGCAATGTCTTTTTTTTAAATCCACCCGTCGAACGGATGAAAATGTTGATATTTAGAAAATTTCTCCAATATCTGCAGTTTCAATTACACGTCAAACTATTTTTTTTTTGTGCAACATTGTTTTTGTCGAATAAACCTGGATCAATGGAAACCTGCCTTTTGTCGATCAAAGATAGTTAGGATACTCTATCATTACTAAAGTTCACTTTGAATTACTCTGAAATGTTTAAATAGTGGCGCAACGCCACTTATTTGGGGAGAACCCCGACATTGACAATATCTTGGTTTTAAATGCTTTAAATGGGCACTTCCGAGTTTTGCTATATTTTCCGGAACTCTCGGGACAATATGAATTATTCCCGGTATTGAAATTTGGTAGATTTTCAGGAAAATATTCATCCCTAGTAAAAACCGCTTTAGGAGACCTTATTCGTTTTGTTCCACGATAATCTTCATTAGCTAACGTAATTTTAGTGCATTTTTAAGCATGTATGTAATAAATACAATTCTGAAAGGTCATGTTATGACAGATCTCATAGAAAAAACTTAAATCTCTTAAACCCGTGTTAACCTTATTTTTGGCATTAATCCCAAAACCCCAATAGGAATGGCTGAACGAACCAGAGATCACTCATTTCCGGTTTTTAGAACTACAAACTGGTGAGCTGTACAGCATGAACCCTACATTGTGTTGAAAATAACACTAATATAGAATAAAATGTGTGGTATGCAATTGGGCATTATATAGAAGTCTGTGTGCAGTGTGTTGAAATCTGAGGAACTGTCCTGATATGGTTTAACTCTGACAAAGCATCTAAAAAAAATGGCAAATGAAAGTTATTTTCATGGGACACCTGTTTTTCTGTTTCTACATGCCCACAATAAAACTGGAATGACTACCCCCCCCCCCAAAAAATGGGGGAAATCGTTTCATATGCAGCCCAATGTTGTATTATCATTTCTGGTGGGAAATAACAGCCTTTGTGACAGGTGTACAATTTCGATGAGATGGATTAAAGAGAACCTGGGCTATCAATCAACTCAGGATTACGGAAGAATACTGTGTTACACATTTCCCTCCATAGCGGATATTAAAAGGCCTATAATAATGTTTTCATACTTCCACAGAAGTTTGACAAAAACATGCATTATCGTATTCATTGTAGTTACAAGCGAGACAACCGTGGACAGCTGCTTATGAAAGCAGCAAATTAGTCTAAACAGCCAGGCTGACCCTAAAACAAACCAGGTGTCTGGACTATTTACAGTTCTTCTTTCCACACGTACAGAAACAAAATGGTGACCTACATACAATAGCCTACACTATGGATAAGGCTGTATCAAATAACCCTGTGGCACAAGTCATGCCATTTTTGGAAGGGAAATGTGCTAATGAAAGATCTTAAACTATTCAAAAGTATAAATGTGGACTAAATATTGCCACAAGTTAAGCCATTCATTTATTAACACCAACATTCATAATGTAGAAGCATTCAAAGTATTGTCCATTAATGCCCTTATAGCTGGTCTTAAATTACTTTAACTTCTGTAACACAGAAGCTCAAAATGTCAGAGAAACTTCATATATATAGTATACTTCATACAAAAGAGGTTGAAAGAGTCAAACAGATTGCTTATGAACATAATGTATTTACAAAGAGTTTTATTTGACAACAGCCATCTAATATTTTTTAAAAGCACTTGATAGCCAAGTAAGCAAAACCCCCACAGTTAGCAACGTTTCGCTGTTGCAAAACCACTATGCATGTTTGCATTTAATTCTGTCATGATGGTGTAGATGAGGACGCACTAAGGGGGTCCCATTGTAGTCAGTAGCCCATTAGCCATCTCTTCACAGGCCAAGCCATTCCCTGGTTTTGTGTAAGAGGCTTGTGGCTGTGAAAGAGCTCTTTAGACGAAGGTGATGCGGGTGCGGGCCTGGTTGACCTGCCACACATTGAGCTCTTCATACTCGTCCAGGGCCTCCTGGAACTGGGCAGGGGTGAAGCCACGGGAAACGCACCGCTGTTCGGCCTCCGCCATGCGCACCAGACCCCAAGACCCACCACGACCCTTCACACCCTCCGTGGCCAGCTCACGCAGCAGGGAGAAGATCACGTCCGCCGGCCGCTGGGCTCTGGAAAACAATGTGATGGAAAAGGTTAAGTGTCTGAAGTCGTGGAACTTTGAGATCAGGGTGGGGGTCAAACCCATGAATTAGGCCTACATTGATCTGTTCAGAAACTGAATGCCTATCCGACAGGATCAAATCCATGTCCAATTAAACTGACAGGAAATTGCATTGACCCAAACTCTGCTTAAAATGCACTTGGTCATACAGCCCTACCGCTTCCAAAACATACAGTGCTACATGCTTACATTTTCCAATCAACTCCTTTGAATCCCTCGAGGTAGACTGGCACAGTAGTATGTGAAAAAATCATTTGAAGTCAATAGGGCGTGTGGTGAAGCACTTAAAACCTGTAGACATGTCAGCCGTTAAGGTCTTCTCCAGTTAACACGCTGTGTAAACAGATAAGGCCGTAAAAAAAAAACGTCCCTCTGGCCATGGAGCCACTTTTAATATACAGTAGCTCCTGAATAGCTATTCTCAGAGTAGGTCATCCCCTTACTCTGTTATAACCCAAACCTCAACCATAGGCATTCAGTCAGAGATCTTATTAAAGCATAACAACGGTGTCATCGGGGACTGTCTTGTTGGCAGTTTCCCACAGCAGCGGAGAGTAGCTGACCTGGTGGTGCTGGACTTGTCAGCCTGCAGGGAGTCCTTGGACATTTCCATGAGCCTCATCGCCTCGTTCACGTCCTCTTTCTCCACCACGTCCACCAGCCGCAGACGGGCCTGTGGGGGTGGGGGTGAGGGAGAGACCACAGGTCAGGCAGGTACATAGGCTAAAGCTCAGAGCACATACCAAAAATACATGCAATATTAAACTGTTAAGAGTCGATCAGACATCGTAGGTTGCGCTGTGCCGGCACTGTCAGACCGAGACAAGTGCAATGCCCTCTGGAATGGCCGACAATTGCCCAAGTCTCCGCCTCTCAACACCAGCTAGTCTCTCCCAATGGATGAGGCTTGACAATCAAAATTGACACAATAGGCAACGTTAATACAGTGATGGTTGTATTATAGGAAGCGTTCAGGTAGTGAGCGACGACTAGTTCCAGTCACAGTCAGTTTTGCATGGGTTTGCACAGCTGCTCCTACAAACACAGGCTGACTGCCTACCCTGCAAAGCTGACTGGGACTAGACACAAAAACGTACATATTAACACAGCTGGATTGGGATAAAGCCACAGTAAAACATACTGGAGTACAATTATGACAATATTAATAAAATCAACACAAACACTCCATAAAGGGCATGGAAGAAACCTTTGACAGCAGTTGGGTAGGTACTAGCCGTTGATCATTACACACAAGTCATTGGACAAAGTAGTCATCTGTACGGGGGAGTTTTGTTAAGGGCCCCGACACTCGGTCTGAACATCAACACCTGCCGCTTGCAGTACGGTTTTGGAAGCATAAAACATGTTTATTTTTCATGTCAGCAATAAACCATTTTCAAAAAACAAAATGTTCAATTGATACACACCTTTATAGGGTTAGTGTTCTCACATGGTCATATCGCCATGTTACAGCGCTTGTTCACAGAAAACAGACGGAAGACAAGAGGCGACCACCTGTGCTAATTTGCTATAGAGCGGGCTGGAAATGTAGCGGAAGTGTAGTTGTCAGATGGAGGCACCCATAGCTGTATGGATTTGTGCAAAACAGTAAGTGTAGCTATCTTTTTTTTTATTTGAATGATTCTCGCAGATGAAAGAGAAGTGCTATATGTTTAGAAAGCCGTATCGCAAGCGATGCTCAACGTTTCTAAACGTTAAAACAAAGCATCGGGATTGTAGTTTACACGAGCCAGTCGTGGGCAAAGCTGACAGCTGAAAACTGTAGGGAGAAGGCAGAATGCCGCCTAGAGTTTGAGAGCTAGGTAGGTACAGGGTCACCCAATGGCGTGGCAGAGATTTGCCCTCTTGTGGCCATCCAGATGTAGCACAGTACAGCCGGTGTGTCGCGAAGTGCTGGTTTTGCAGTAGGGCGGTTGAGTCAGCTACCTGCACAAACAGCACTTTTGACACCCAGGCGCTACGAGACCACACAGTGAGAAGCATTACATTCCAGTCTTAATGGACATGAAGGAGTCAGATTCAATAGGCGAGTCAGTGCGGGCGAGAGTAGACACAGGGCCTAGTGCCCAGCGTGTAAAATAAGTGCTCACACTGCAGGTAGGCTGGGCATTGCCACTACCTGCACTGTAAGCACTTTAGCACACACTGGGCTGCAACCAACTGTCCCCCCAATCCATGCAGTCTTGCTCCACTCTTCATTCTAAGTATGCACCCAGTCAGGGTAGAAAGGGTGTGTAGTTAGGATGGGGTGAGTCTCACCAGGGCGGTGGATAGGCGGAGGATAGACAGGAGTGTACGGGCGGAGGTGAAGGTGCAGTCCTTGCTGACACGCGCCTCCTTCCTCATCTCCACGTAGGCCGCCGTGATGTAATCAGCCAGTGCCTCTGGGATGACGGGCTGTCGCCTCGTACACAGGGAGATGTAACGCCTGGAGAGCGATGATACAGTTAGTCACATAAAATAAAAATGCATGTGGGAGAAATGTCTAATCACTGATGACTAAATAGTAATTCTTTATTTTATTTCCAGCACCACAAAGTTTGCAATAAGTTGCCGTGGGGTGTGCATGTTACACCTGGCTCTGGGTTACCAGTGAACTGACCTCATGAGCTTCATATCGATGGGGGTAAAGTGAGTGGGTGGCTGGTGGCAGTGCTGGTGAACATAGGTGATGTGCTGGGCCAGTCGGAGATCGGCCTCCGTGTCAGGCTTGTCCTGGATGAGCCAAAGCAGGTCAAAACGGGAGAGCAGGGCGGCCGGCAGCTGGATGTTCTGCTCAATGGTCTTGCGCGGGTTGTAGCGGCCGTAAGCAGGGTTAGCGGCCGCCAGGATGGAGCAGCGGGCGTTGAGGGAGGTCATGATTCCCGCCTGGGAAGGGAATGAGTTAGTCACACACATTATCGTTGAACAGGGGAAAGCTCTGTTTTGACTGTCATTTTCCACCTTGTCATAGGGATACAGGTAGAAAATCTTGTCTGGTCTGCTGTAGCTCAATTGGTAGAGCATGGCGCTTGTAACGCCAGGGTAGTGGGTTCGATCCCCGGGACCACCATACGTAAACATTTATGCGCACATGACTAAGTCGCTTTGGATAAAAGCGTCTGCTAAATTGCATATTATTATTTATTTATAAAACCAGTTGAAATTCATGAATAGCCTTACATAAAAAAACAAAAAAAATAAAAAAAGTGTTCGTTTTTGTTTCCAGAGCTACTGCCAGACATGTGGCTGTGAATGAGGAGAAAGCACACCTTGGCGATGGAGATGGTCTGCTGCTCCATCACCTCGTGGATGGCTGTGCGGTCGGCGTCGGCCATCTTGTCAAACTCGTCAATACAGCAGACACCCTGGTCGGCCAGAACCAGGGCTCCGCCCTCCAGGGTCATCTCCCCGGTGAGGGGGTCACGCATCACAGCTGCCGTCAGTCCCACGCCAGAGGATCCTCTGCCCGTTGTATACTGGCCTGGAGGGGGTCAGGGAGGTATGGTCATGGCTGATAATAGTGGCAGGAGCCAAAATAGAATCATCTTCATTCCTTTATTTACTTGAACACGAGTGAGGACCTCTAGGGATCAATATTGTCAAAAGAAATCTACCAAGTTTCAATTTCGTATTTATCCAGACAGTCCTTGGAAATACCGCAAAAATCAGAAGTGCCCATTTAAAGCGTTTAAATTCAAGATATGGCTAGGGGCGCCACGCCACCTTGTCGACGCCACTACGTAAAGATTTCAGAGCAAATGAAAGTGATATTTAGTAATGATAGAGTAACTACCCTTTGATCGCCAATGACGTTGTGAGCTGCGAAACAGCCCGTTCATAAATTCAGAGCGTTCTCATGTTCCTCAATTAATTCAGCAGTAAGGCCATCTCGACACAGAATGCGCTCAGGACGCACAGAGCATAGCATTAGTGGCAGTCAAACAAAAATTAAATGACCTGTTCGGCCTGTTCACCCTGCTATCATCCAGAAGGCGAGGTATGTACAGGTGCATCAAAGCTGGGACCGAGACTGAAAAACAGCTTCTATCTCAAAGCCAGACTGTTAAATAACCATCATTAGCCGGCCCCCCCGCCCTGAACTTAGTCACTGTCACTAGCTGGCTACCACCCGGTTACACAATCCTGTACCTTAGAGGCTGCTGCCCTATGTACATAGAATCACTGGTCACTTGAATAATGTTTACATACGGTTTTACTCATTTCATATGTATATACTGTATTCTAATCAATGCCATCCAATTAAACTATTGCTGTATATACTCTATCCTACAGATATACTAAACATACTGTCCATAATGTCTATACATCACACACACACAGAGTATTTGGAGAGTATTCAGACCCCTTGACTTGTTCCACATTTTGTTACGTTACAGCGTTATTCTAAAACGGATGAAAAATTTAAATCCTCAATCTACACACAATACCCCATAAAGAAAGCAAAAACTGAAATATCACATTTACATAAGTATTCAGACCCTTTACTCAGTACTTTGTTGATGCACCTTTGGCAGTGATTACAGCATCGCGTCTTCTTGGGTATGACGCTACAAGTTTCTCCCATTCTTCTCTGCAAATCTTCTCAAACTCTGTCTGGTTGGATGGGGAGCGTCACTGCACAGCTATTTTCAGGTCTCTCCAGAGATGTTTGATCGGGTTCAAGTCCGGGCTCTGGCTGGGCCACTCAAGGACATTCAGAGTCTGTCCCGAAGCCACACCTGTGTTGTCTTGCCTGTGTGCTTAGGGTTGTTGTCCTGTTGGAAGGTGAACCTTCGCCTGGAGCAGGTTTTCATCAAGGATCTCTCTGTACTTTGCTCCATTCATTTTTCCCTCGATCCTGACTAGTCTTCCAGTCCATGCCGCTGAAAAACATCCCCACCGCATGATGCTGCCGCCACCACGCTTCGCCGTAGGGATGGTGCCAGGTTTCCTCCAGACGTGACGCTTGGCATTCAGGTGCCTTTTGGCATACTCCAAGCGGGCTGTCATGTGCCTTTACTGAAAAGTGGCTTCCGTCTGGCCACTATCATAAAGGCCTGATTGGTGGAGTGCTGCAGAGATGGTTGCCCTTCTGGAAGGTTCTCCCATCTCCACAGAGGAACTCTGGAGCTGTCAGAGTGAACATCAGGTTCTTGCTCACAATTGTGCAGTTTGGCCGGGTGGCCAACTCTAGGAAGAGTCTTGGTGGTTCCAAACTTCTTCCATTTAAGAATGATGGAGGCCACTGTTCTTGATGACCTTCAATGCTGGTTGAGAGAATGCCAAGAGTGGGCAAAGCAGTTATCAAGGCAAAGGGCGGCTTTTTGAAAAATCGCAAATATACTACATGATTCCATATGTGTTATTTCATAGTTTGTCTTCACTATTATTCTACAATGTAGAAAATAGTAAAAATATAGAAAAATCCTGGAATTAGTAAGTGTGTCCAAACTTTTGACTGGTACTGTATGCATATAAAAACACACACACACACACACACACACACGTATACAGAGATACACACACTGATTCCAGACTCCAACATTGCTCGTCCTAACATTTATTTAAAAAAATTATTCCATTATTTTACTTTTAGATGTGTGTATTGTTAGAAATTACTGCACTGGCGGACCTAAGAACACAAGCATTTCGCTACACCCACAATAACATCTGCTAAATATGTGTATGCGACCAAACACATTTCATTTGGCCAGCAAGTAAGAGACAGTGCATAAATGTTATAGCGGTATTTTGACATGCATAGGCAGAGACGTGCGTTGATAATGCAACCTATGGATTACAGAATAAAGTTATGAATTTTCATGCGAGACAGGAGTCAGGATTTTGGGTTTCAGTGGGATTGGGATAGGACAATCTCCTACGCTGTAGGACAGGAGATGATAGAATGTTCCCTTCATGCCTCTGAATTGTTTATAGGTTATAGTGTAGCGGTTTCCTGTAATGTTTATTAACTGCATTCGGGTCGCGTGTGCAGTCCGGCAGTGTGAAGTAAATACACTAGGCTAAAGGCTTCCATGCAACAACCTGTTTGGATGAGGTGCAATTAATTTTTTTGCTAATCTGCTGCTGCGCATGTTGTGTATTTTGTGGAATTGCATTAGTGCTGACATTGGATAAATGTTTTGTAATTTCACAACAACCACCCCAAAAAATATATATAGGGAAGAGTTCCGGGACAGTCCCGGGATCCCGGCTACCCATGTTACTCCTTAAACCTTTTCATTGACTATATTTGGTTCATGTCCCTATTAATTCAACAACTGTGCGGAAATGGTGCAAGGCTTTTAGTCAATTTCCAGTAGGCCATTTAGCCTGTTGCTAATACCAGTCTTGCGACATGGGATCAGTGCAAATGAAGGAGGATACATGGAGAATAAATATTTTAGACAGTTCCAGGAGATTGTACTTACTGCGAGCAGCCAGGCGGTCGATGTAAGACAGCAGCTGGGACTTGGCTACTCCTGGGTCTCCCATCAGACAGATGTTTATGTTGCCTGGAAGGAGCCAAACCGGGTCATAAGTTAAACATCCCCAAACTCCAGTTAATTCAAATGAAAGCCAAAGCAGCTATTCTAATGGACAATGTTGCAGGGCAGTGGAAGTTTTATTGCGCTCACCTCTGATCTTCATGCCTTTGGGGGCCTGCTGCACTCCTCCAACCAACAGCAGCAGGAGAGCCTTCTTTACATCTTCATGGCCAAAAATCTCAGGGGCGATAGAGCCCGCAAGCTTCTCGTAGAAATCTTCCTCTGCAAGTAAGAGAGATAAGCGCATTAACCAAACTATTCAGTTACACAGTCCATTCGCGTCGACACATCCTCTTGGATAAACAATACGAGAATGGTTAAAAAAAACGCACTCCCTTAACATTCTGTTCACAGATCCAAAAGGACAGGATACATGCAAGCACCATGCAGTGAAGCTTCCATAATACTGCCAACATCAATCTGGTTCCTTCAGACCTGTGATCACTGAAAGGTTTGAGAACCTAGGGGTGATTTCAAAACAGTCAGGCATGCACGCACATACCTGTGATCTGGCGCAGCTCTTCCCCGCTCAGCTCTGCTGTGCCCAGCTCGTCATCCTCTGTCTTGTTCATCAGTGTGATGCTGTGGGACTCCAGGTACGTTTCTGAAAGCAGACCCTGAGAGGGAGTGACAGTCACATTACAACAGCAGCATCTCTCAGCCAGCCAACTAGCCTCCTGGTTCAGGGGATGTACTTGTACATCAAGTTGTCTCAGGCCGAATGGGCCGTTCTAGCCTGAACAAGTCTTCCTTTACATCTCAGCCAAGTCATGGGTATGGAGTAAGGCAGATTGTACCATTTTTCGCCAACTTATTTTATGTTGCTCAACTTTAGGATAATTCTCAATAAGGTTTAAGGCAACTTTGTAATGTGTTTGAGTGCACTCACCTGGACAGCCTGTCTGAAGCCAGTGCGCAGCAAAGGGAGGAAGACACCAGCAATAGCCACATGGTCTCCGGGTTGGGCCACGCGCGTATTCTCCCCGCGGGCGTAGATGGTCATGCTCCTGGGGATGTTCCCCACAGGAACCTGGTCACTCTGGAAATAGATGAGGCACAGGCAAGGGTTACAGCTTTCAAACCAGTGCAAATGCATTAGTCTGACTTGTGCTTGTTTATTTGCCTTCAACTTCTGCCAGAGAGCTATGTGAATTGAATGTGTTGCTGTGTTTCAGATTCTTTATATAATTATAATTAGTCATTTAGCAGACGCTCTTATCCAGGGCTCGGGGATTAGAACCAGCGACCTTTCGGTTTCTGGCACAACACTCTTAACCACTAAGCTACCTGCCACCCCCAAGGGTTAGACAAAAGGTCCTTACGTGTTCCTGTATGCGCAGCTCCTGGAACTTGACAAACTTTGAGCCTCGGCTCTGCAGGTAGAGCCGGCCGCCGGACTTGTTGGTGACACACTCTTGACTGGGACACATGATGAGGGGCATGAAGGTGGGGGATTGGATCTGATAAGACAGGGAGAGGTGTCTGGGTTAGCACAAGGAACCGAGAGATCTTAAATGTTTCTGTACCGGACCGAATGTTGAATTTATTTACCCAGCCCTCCTGTGAGATCTAGTAAATTCTTTCCATTTATTTTCTTATATAGTTTATCAAGTTTTCTTGACTGGTTCATGCAATAAAACAACAACAGAATGCCAATCGCTTACCGGCTGGTATGTCTCTGCGCCACACTGGTCACAGGTGTAAGTGGCGACTGCCATCATGGGTTTGACCTCAGTGGCACGGGTGACAATGCCCCTAACTGTCACCAACTGACCAATGCTGTCTGCTCGGACATCACGGACCACTTTGGGTTTGGCAGTGCTGGGCGGTTTGAAGTACAGCTCGCTGTTAGAGAAAGGATCTGTCTCAGAGGGGATGCCATAATTGTTATTCCTTGCCTCCTAAATACGTAAAATCAGCAGTCATGAGCTGGCTATGGCTTGTAACTCATATTTAGTAGAACATGCATCCAGTCCAAATAAGAATATATACACACACTCGTTTATTCGCCACGTGTACAGGACAGAACAGGTATAAAACAGTACAGTGAAATTATCTTGATAGCTCTTTCCCAACAATGCAGTGCTAATTTATAATTTAGATAATAGAAAACAAAATTAAAACCACAAGAACTACAATGAGACTGAAAAACAAGAAGGCAAGTATATACAGGTCAGTTCAATGTGCAGGGGTACTGGAGCGGTTGAGGTGGGTTTATACAGTACCAGCAAAATTTGGGACACACCTACTCATTCAAGGGTTTTTCTTTATATTTACTATTTTCTACATTGTAGAATTATAGTGAATACCTCAAAACTATAAAATAACACATATGGAATCATGTAGTAACCAAAAAAGTGTTAAACAAATCAAAATATATTTTACATTTGAGATTCTTCAAAGTAGCCACCCTTTGCCTCGATGACAGCTTTGCACTCTTGGCATTCTCTCAACCAGCTTCATGAGGAAGTCACCTGAAATGCTTGAAGGAGTTCCCACATATGCTGAGCACTTGTTGGCTGCTTTTCCTTCACTCTGCGGTCCAACTCAACCCAATTGGGTTGAGGTCGGGTGATTGTGGAGGCCAGGTCATCATTTTACATTTTAGTCATTTAGCAGACGCTCTTATCCAGAGCAACTTACAGTTAGTGAGTGCATACATTTTTCATTCTGGCCCCCCGTGGGAATCGAACCCACAACCCTGGCGTTGCAAGTGCCATGCGCTACCAACTGAGCTACAAGAGGCTACAGGTCATCTGATGCAGCACTCCATCACTCTCCTTCTTGGTCAAATAGCCCTTACACAGCCTGGAGGTATTATTTGGGTCATTGTCCTGTTGAAAAACAAATGAGTGGGACTAAGCGCAAACCAGATGGGATGGCGTATCGCTGCAGAATGCTGTGGTAGCAAATGCTGGTTAAGCGTGCCTCAAATTCTAAATAAATCACAGACAATGTCACCAGCAAAGCACCGCCACACCACCTCCTCCATGCTTCACAGTGGGAACCACACATGGAGAGATAATCCATTCACCTACTCTGCGTCTCACAAAGACACAGCGGTTGGAACCAAAAATCTCAAATTTGGACTCATCAAACCAAAGGACAGATCTCCACCGGTCTAATGTCCATTGCTCGTGTTTCTTGGCCCAAGCAAGTTCTTATTATTGGTGTCCTTTAGTAGTGGTTTCTTTGCAGCATTTCGACCATGATGGCCTGATTCACAGTCACCTCGAAACAGTGATGTTGAGATGTGTCTTACTTGAACTCTTTGAAGCATTTATTTGGGCTGCAATCTGAGGTGCAGTTAACTCTAATGAACTTATCCTCTGCAGCAGAGGTAACTCTGGGTCTTCCTTTCCTATGGCGGTCCTCATGAGAGCCAGTTTCATCATAACGCTTGATGGTTTTTGCGACTGCACTTGAAGAAACATTCCGTATTGACTGACCTTCATGTCTTAAAGTAATGATGGACTGTCATTTCTCTTTGCTTATTTGAGCTGTTCTTGCAACAATATGGACTTGGCCTTTAACCAAATAGGGCTATCTTCTGTATACCACCTCTACCTTGTCACAACACAACTGATTGGCTCAAACGCACTAAGGAAAAAAAGAAATTCCACAAATTAACTTTAGGCACACCTGTTAATTGAAATGCATTCCAGGTGACTACTTCATGAAGCTGGTTGAGAGAATGCCAGGAGTGTGCAAAGCTGTCATCAAGGCAAAGGGTGGCTACTTTGAAGAATCGAAAATATTTCTTTGATTTGTTTAACTCTTTTTTGGTTACTACATGATTCCATGTGTGTTATTTCATAGTTTTGATGTCTTCACTATTATTCTACAATGTAGAAAATAGTAAAATAAAGAAAAACCCTGGAATGAATAGGTGTATCCAAACTTTTGACTGGTACTGTACACTGTACATGTAAACAGGGCTGAAAAGAGACTGGTAGCAGGAATATATAAATACTCATGGTAATATACACATGTAAACAGGAGTAAGTGACCAGTAGCTGGATAAATACACTGCTCAAAAAAATTAAGGGAACACTAAAATAACACATCCTAGATCTGAATGAATGAAATAATCTTATTAAAATAATTTTCTCTTGACATAGTTGAATGTGCTGACAACAAAATCACACAAAAATTATCAATGGAAATCAAATTTATCAACCCATGGAGGTCTGGATTTGGAGTCACCCTCAAAATTAAAGTGGAAAACCACACTACAGGCTGATCCAACTTTGATGTAATGTCCTTAAAACAAGTCAAAATGAGGCTCAGTAGTGTGTGTGTCCTCCACGTGCCTGTATGACCTCCCTACAATGCCTGGGCATGCTCCTAATGAGGTGGCGGATGGTCTCCTGAGGGATCTCCTCCCAGACCTGGACTAAAGCATCCGCCAACTCCTGGACAGTCTGTGGTGCAACGTGGCGTTGGTGGATGGAGCGAGACGATGTCCCAGATGTGCTCAATTGGATCAGGTCTGGGGAACGGGCGGGCCAGTCCATAGCATCAATGCCTTCCTCTTGCAGGAACTGCTGACACACTCCAGCCACATGAGGTCTAGCATTGTCTTGCATTAGGAGGAACCCAGGGCCAACCGCACCAGCATATGGTCTCACAAGGGGTCTGAGGATCTCATCTCGGTACCTAATGGCAGTCAGGCTACCTCTGGCGAGCACATGGAGGGCTGTGCGGCCCCCCAAAGAAATGTCACCCCACACCATGACTGACCCACCGCCAAACTGGTCATGCTGGAGGATGTTGCAGGCAGCAGAACGTTCTCCACGGCGTCTCCAGACTCTGTCACGTCTGTCACGTGCTCAGTGTGAACCTGCTTTCATCTGTGAAGAGCACAGAGCGCCAGTGGCGAATTTGCCAATCTTGGTGTTCTCTGGCAAATGCCAAACGTCCTGCACGGAGTTGGGCTGTAAGCTCAACACCCACCTGTGGACGTCGGGCCCTCATACCACCCTCATGGAGTCTGTTTCTGACCGTTTGAGCAGACACATGCACATTTGTGGCCTGCTGGAGGTCATTTTGCAGTGCTCCTCCTGCTCCTCCTTGCACAAAGGCGGAGGTAGCAGTCCTGCTGCTGGGTTGTTGCCCTCCTATGGCCTCCTCCACGTCTCCTGATGTACTGGCCTGTCTCTTGGTAGCGCCTCCATGCTCTGGACACTACGCTGACAGACACAGCAAACCTTCTTGCCACAGCTCGCATTGATGTGCCATCCTGGATGAGCTGCACTACCTGAGCCACTTGTGTGGGTTGTAGACTCAATCTCATGCTACCACTAGAGTGAAAGCACCGCCAGCATTCAAAAGTGACCAAAACAGCCAGGAAGCATAGGAACTGAGAAGTGGTCTGTGGTCACCACCTGCAAAACCAGTCCTTTATTGGGGGTGTCTTGCTAATTGCCTATAATTTCCACCTGTTGTCTATTCCATTTGCACAACAGCATGTGAAATGTATTGATTTCACAGAAGTGTGATTGACTTACATTGTGTGTTCCCTTTATTTTTTTGAGCAGTGTATATAAATACTAATGGTAATCAAATGGACAGTAGCGTAATGGAGTAATAAATCTTATAAATAGTAATTTTAGCAGCAGCGTAGGTTGTGTCTGAGTGGGTAGACCTGCGGATGGGCATAGAGTCAGTGTGGATAGTCCGCCACATGCATAAGTGTCCCAAAGCGGAGGGAGGTAAAATTATGGAGGGTGTAGGGGCTAATTAAACCCTCCGATAGCCACTTCTACCGAGCCAGCAACACTGCCGTGTTCAGAGCGAAGTGGAATCCCATAAAATAGTTATTTGAGTTTGTGCAATTTCACACAAAATAATGGAGAAGACTGCCTAATATGCCACAAGCATTTGTTTGTCTGATTTCTAAACTTGAACACAAGTAAAAGATGAAATACCTCCAAAATTAAAAGGTTTAACTGTTACAGAGATTTATCTTGTAAAACAGAATTTCATGCTTGTTTTATTATTTAAAAAGTGGAACTTGCATTGCATCATTGTGTCCCGAAGTTATTGTGTTTATTGATAACCTCGCCACTCTCGAAGTCACCCTTGGAGTTTCGTCAGCAACGCGTTATAACGGAAGGCCCTCCAAGCGAGTTGGTAAGGGCGTGTGGGTGGTTTGGGCAATTTATTGGGCCCTTCTCAGACACCGCCTGGCATGGCTGGGAGCTTGCGCTGGGCCGTCCGCACCACCCTCTGTAGGGCCTTCCGGTCGCGGGCGGTGCAGTTGCCATACCAGACAGTATCACAACCAGTCAGGGTGCTCGCAAGGGTGCAGCTGTAGAACTTCATGAGGATTTGAGGGGTCATGCCAGGGAGAAGAGTTAAGTCCTAAGTGGTGTGGACACCGAGGAACTTGAAGCTCTTGACCTCTCCACTGCGGCCCTGTCGATGTTCACCCCCCCCCCCCCATTTCCAGTAGTCCACGATCAGCTCCTTGGTCTTAGTAAGCAATTCATCCAGGTTCATGCCCAGTTCTAACTCAGAGACAATGACAAACATGCTAGCTAAGTGAACTTACAATCTCCTCATGAGCTCTGCTGGGTACTGGTTGTGAGGGTCCCTCGTGTCTGCGGTGTCGTGACCTCTCTGCTCCATCATCAGCCTATGCTCAATGTACACATCCAGGGAATCCTTGGCCACCACCTGCGTGAAAGATGAGACAGGTATTGACAGGTCCCGGGGCAGTTAGTCTCAGACTCAATGTTTTACCGATAACTTCATCCCAGGGATGCAAACTGGCGAGGGGCCCAAAAAGTATACTTTTTTAATGCACGGAAACACACCAAAATTCTGTAAAGTGCAAGAAAAATGTGCCTATTTTCAGAGTGGGGTTGTCACAATACCAACATTCTACTAACGATGTGATAACAGGCCAAGTATCACAGTATTATCACAGGGTTTGCTCTGCTCTGCTCTTCCCAGTCACTACAAAGATACAGGCGTCCTTCCTAACTCATTTGCTGGAGAGGAAGGAAGGCCAAGGGTGACTTTAACAGCTACAGAGTTTAATGGCTGTGATAGGAGAACTTAGCCAGCAGCATACCACTTGTATCACACTGCTGGCTTGCCTCTGAAGCTAAGCAGGGTTGGTCCTGGTTGGGAGACCAGATGCTGCTGGAAGTGGTGTTGGAGGGCCAATAGGAGGCAATCTTTCCTCTGGTCTAAAAAGTATAATATCCCAATGCCCCAGGGCAGTGATTGGGGACATTGCCCTGTGTAGGGTGCTGTCTTTCGAATGAGACGTTAAAACGGGTGTCCTGACTCTCTGTTGTCACTAAAGAGCCCATGGCACATATCGTAAGAGAAGGGGTGTTAACACAAGCCCTGGCTAAATTCCCAATCTGGCCCTCATACCATCATGGCCACCTAATCATCCCCAGCATCCAATTGGCTCATTCATCCCCCTTCCTCTCCCCTTTAACTATTCCCCAGGTCATTGCTGTAAATGAGAATGTGTTCTCAGTCAACTTACCAGGTAAAATATAAATTATAATGAAGATGGGTCAACATTGTAGTTACTCCACAATAAATGAGTGAAAAGGAAGCCTGTACAGAAAAAACATATATCCAGTTTGCAATAAGGCACTAAAGTAAAACGGAAAAAGTGTGGCAAAAAAAATGACTTTATGTCCTGAATACAAAGCATCACTGAGTACCACTTCATATTTTCAAGCTTGGTGGTGGCTGCATCATGTTATGGGTATACTTTTAATTAAGCTTAGAATTACATTGATTAGGCATATGCATCACACCTTTGAAGAATCTCTATGAGTAGGCTATCCATCCCTTTTTTAAGTTTGTTCTGTGCCATCCAAATGTGTGCATAGCCAAGATACCATGTTGTTAGCTAGCTAGCCAGGTAACATGACTAAACAAGGATGTTCGTTATCAAACCAAAAACCTGCGGCCTGCGAGTAGTTTAAAAACGCCCCACGACATGGTTTATAAAATTATATTACATGTGCGCCAATTAGTGGTAGAAAGGCGCCGGTAATATGGGGCATAACTTTTAAGAAAAACTTTTGGACTAGAAACTCAGTTCAGTCATGTGAAGGCGCAAGCAGGCGCAAGGAAACAAAACACAAAGTGTATTTAACTTTATCATTATGTTGTCATCCAGTCACGTTCATGTATTTTCCAAGCTACAGCACAATATTTTACAGTAGGTTTTTTTAAAGGACCAAAGAATTTAGTCTGCTTCCCGTTTTCATTTTTGCCACCGGAAAAAATATTGCGATACTGGTATTGTCACAGCCCTACTGTCACTGTGATCCGTTTCTCCTCTATGGCAGTGGCACTCAAGAGGCTGCGTGACAGCGAATCCTCATCAGACTGGCCTGCTTGTTCTTACAGGCAGAATGAAAACATACATATCCACTTCCCTCACGCTGCGTGCCGCACCAATAATTAAACAAATGTAACAGAAACCGCATCACTGTCTGCACACCTCAGCTCACCATCACGGCTAAATAACATTTTAAAAACTGACGGAGATGCGCAGAAAGAACAGACAGAGAAGCTGCTGAGTAGGCTAATGGCTGGTTAGGGGATGTGGCTGGCTCTTCACAGCGGTCACACTTGATATCACTCATTCCGATATGACATCTGACATCACACTCTGAACTCAGTTTAATATTCTATTTCTAGGATGTGTAGGGATGCATTCTGTGCTCAGTCATTAATTTCAATATGAGAAACATACACCATTATTTAGTGATCACACAGGGAGAATATATGTTCGCGCCTCTCTTTTATAGCTCAATGGGTGGTACACTATGCACACTGTCAGACCCCCCCCCCCCCTCTATTAGCAACTGCCATATCCAAATCAATATCCAGTCAAGCAGGCCAGATTAGGTCTTAAATGTGTGTTTCTATTAACATAGCTAAAATACCTCTCTCTCGCGGTACTCTGGCAGAAGCTCGTGGACCGCATTGGCGAACAGGCCCATGTAGCGCTTGGCATTCTCACAGATGCTCTCCACCAACTCGGGGTCCTCCTCGGCCACATCATCCAGGTCCACCTGCAAAGCCACCTGCTCCCTGTGGGACAGGGCAACCTACAGACACAACAGGGCTTCCATCAGGGACACAGAATATTTACATTTGTTGCTTAGCATTGATTCTGCATGGCCCTTTCCTGCAAACAACGACAAAAGTTCCTGCTCATGTCAAAATACTGCAATGTACAGTTAACTGCCAAAATAAAGAACACACTTGAGTAAATGAGGGATACAAAGTATATTGAAAGCAGGTGCATTCACACAGGCGTGGCTCCTGAGTTATTTAAGCAATTAACCCCCATCCACAGGGCACTGAATGGTTTAATGAGGATGAAAACGATGTAAACCATATGCCATGGCCGTCTCAGTCACCAGATCTCAACCCAATTGAACACTTATGGGAGAGATTCTGGATCGGCGCCCGAGACAGTGTTTTCCACCACCAAAACACCAACTGATGGGATTTATTGTGGAAGAATGGTGTCACATCCCTCCGATAGAGCTCCGGACACTTATAGAATCTTTGCCAAGGTGCATTCAAGCTGTTGTGGCTTGTGGTGGCCCAATGCCCTAGTAAAGGGGGCGGTTCACCCAAAAACACTTCTGGGCCCTTTATAACCCTTGCCTGGACATTTGTCAGTACCCCAAACAGTTTAGATTTCTGTATTTATATATCAAAATGCCACATTTACGAAATTACCTAAAATGCATTAAAAACGGTATTTAGTTACATTAACAACAATTTGTGTCTCGGCATTGAATTGCCAAATAAATGTGGTATTTAATGTAAAAAAGTATAAAAAACAAAGACCTCCTTCGTGCAAGCGCAAAGGTCTTCCATGTAGTCTAATCCGTTGATACTCTTTCGTGGTTCTAAGATTGATAATTACAGGAGGTGGGATGAAGGAGCATCTTACTATTGGTCTTCAGGAAATGAAGTCAGGAAGTAAACAAAGAGATGGTAGCTATTAGCTAGGCTAGCGGTAAGTAGTGGTTTCCAATCTCTGAAGTAAAGCAGTAGACAAATAGTACTTGAGTAGCTGAGTAACTTAAGGGAAGTAGGCAGAATATCTGGCTAAAATCAGGTGCATTGTACCCAGGTGCAATAATGTCCCTGTCAGACACAAATACAGTGCGCATTTTCACTCTTTTCCTGTCCGCGATAGAGCTGTGTGTCTGATCCTGATTATGTTCTCAATACAAAGCATGAAGTGATTCACTAGCTGCAGTAGTCCGTGTGCAGTGATCACTTTAGGACCGCTTGACAACCATTCGAAGAAAGGTAAGATGGAACCGACAGACATGGCAGCTCTGCTTCTAGCTCCTAAGCAACTGATACCCAATATATTTTGGATATCAGAGCGGCGGTAACTCACCAGCATTCTGACCAGAAATTCAACTTTCCCGAATTGGATGCTTTGTTTGTACCCACAGTAGTAGGCCTGATTACCAACAATGATGAGACAGCCTACAGGGAGTGAGGGCCCTGGCGGAGTGGTGCCAGGAAAATAACCTCTCCCTCAATGTCAACAAAATGAAGGAGCTGATCGTGGACTACAGGAGACAGCAGAGGGAGCATGCCCCCATCCATTGGACCTCAGTGGAGAAGGTGAAAAGCTTCAAGTTCCTCTGCGTTCACATCACCGACAATCTGAAATGCTCCACCCACACAGTGCCTCGTCAACCTCAGGAGACTGAAGAATTTCAGCTTGCCCCTTAAGAACTTCACAAACATTTACAAATGCACCATTGAGAGCATCCTGTCGGGCTGTATCACCACCTGGTACAACAACTGCAAAGCCCGCAATCGCAGGGCTCTCCAGAGGGTGGTGAGGTCTGGCCAACGCATCACTGGGGGCACACTACCTGCCCTCCAGGACACCTACAGCACCCAATGTCACACGACGGCCAAAAAGATCAAAGACTTCAACCACCCGAGCCACGGCCTGTTCACCCCACTGTCATCCAGAAGGCGAAGTCAGTACAGGTGCATCAAAGCTGGGACCGAGAGACTGAAAAACAGCTTCTATCTCAAAGCCATCAGACTGTTAAATAGCCATCACTAACCGGCCTCCACCCAGTACCCTCCCCTGAAACTAACCACTGTCACTAGCCTGTTACTCAATCCTGCACCTTAGAGGCTGCTGCCCTATGTACATAGACATGGAATCACTGGTCACTTTAATAATGGAGCAATTGACACTTTAATAACATTTACATACGGTTTTACTCATGTCATATGTGTATACTGTATTCTAGTCAATGCCATTCCGACATTGCTCGTGCTAATATTTTTATATTTCTTAATTTAATTCCTTTACTTTGAGATGTGTGTATGGTTGTGAATTGTTAGATACTACTGCACCGTTGGAGCTAGGAACACAAGTATTTCGCTACACCCGCAATAACATCTGCTAAATATGTGTATTTGACCAATAAAATCTGAAGTTGCCAACACCTGTAGCAATTTATAACGTTATTTGTTTGCCATTCGCCGAACTAGCTCCTGATGCTTTTGGCTTGCTACTTTCACAGTAAAGTTGTCCTGTCCTGCTGTTTTGTTTTTAAATTTTGCTTCATGATGCAATTCCTTTTTCCATTACCCATAAAGTCGTCAGACCCAGATCCCGACTCATGGTGCACATTAATCTACTTCCTGGATTTCAATACGAAAATAAAATACATTGGTAAATATTTACCTACTGAAATAAGTCACTACTTTGTTCACTCAACCATTCAGTGTGTTGGGGCAGGGGAGGAAGATTGCGGCCTCCAGGCTCGCCCCGACACTTACATTGACGATTTGTTTTTAACTTTGAATACTTAATCCATTATACTTTACCAATCAACAGCATCATGGTTTAGAACCATTTCTCATATTAGATCATTGATTTTCAATTGCAAATGACTTGAAGACTGGCGTGACATATTACAGACAGAACAGGGTCATGAAAGTCAGTTCCATACTCACAAGCTGAGCTCCATATTTGAACACCTTCTTTCCATTGTCATCCTCACTGTAAAACTCTTGAAGGAACTTCTTGCATTTCTCTGAGGGAAAGAACAGAATATTCAACGGTGCACATTGAATGTTATTAATCTTATAGGCAGAGCAAAGCCTCAGTCTGAATTAGGGCCTCGTCTTTTTTTGCCAAGCTGAGTGAAAAATCTAATTTAGCTCGCCCTTTACCATTTTTTTCCCTTCCAGTTTCAATACAAGGCTCAGTTAATGAGCTGTATTTTTTTGTGAAAGTTTTCCAATTGCCATCAACAGCATGGTAGTCAAGGGCCTACATACTGCGACCTAATTTGTGGTCCTTCGACAACCCCCTTTGTTGGGTAACATCGCATCCCACAGATAACGATTTCTTACATTAAAGTACTGTCCCTACTGGAAGAGGCTGGAAGAGGATGTGGACAGCAGAGGAGAGAGTGGGTGAAGGAGGGAGTGAGGCGCCATGGAGAGAGTCAATGGGCCAGAGTAAAGTCCTCTTTCCCCTTTGTTGGCCGAACATCCATCAACATCAAGGATAGGTGGAGAACCACGAAGAAACTAAAGATGGTCTGAGGGCACCAACTGAAGAACACTGGCTAAAACAGGGAGGGACTAACTTGTGCAATAAGAAAATGCTCATTTTCGCTTTCAGTCGCAAAATGTTTTTCTATGGGGTGCAGGTGGCTAAAGATGGTCCGAGGGGCAGAGGGCATTTGGACTAAGCAATAGATAATAGGGATATTATCCAGTTAAGCTAATTTTATATGTTCAAAGTAGGGCTGGCAAAATATTAAAATAAATCATTTTTTATTTTGGTGCTAAAGATTGGTCCATAAAACATAAATGCGCCCAAACCTTTACAACAATGATGTAATGTTACAGGTTTGGTTTGCAGCTCACGCCAACAACCAAATCGCTGTCAATGTTGGTGAAAATAACCCCCATTTCTCCCAAAAATTTGAACTATACTAGGAGACGCGTCTGGATTTTAGACACCTCAAAACAAACATTTACATTTAAGTCATTTAGCAGACGCTCTTATCCAGAGCGACTTACAGTTAGTGAGTGCATTCATTTTTAAATTGTTTTTTCATACTGGCCCCCCGTGGGAAACGAACACACAACCCTGGCGTTGCAAGCGCCATGCTCTACCAACTGAGTTACACCTGTCTGTACCTACACAATATGCGTAGTTATTTCACTTACTTTTCATTCGAGCCCAAAATCACAACCTCTTCAACATTCTGTATTCGCAATAATTTTGTAAACAGAACAGCACATGGCTTTTAGCCTGGTCACTACGAGCAATCCGCCGCTTTCCCTCGGTCGTAAAATAGTCCCAACTAAACTGGGGGATTGCGTTAGCTATGGCTTCAAAGCATGACTCGGTTTCAGGACCAGTTTGTTGATTTGCCGAATTCACTGTAAAGTTACACTGGACTTTAGACCAACAATAGATACACTATTTAGCAGCAAACTAAATATATTACCTAGATAGCTAGGACCGGATAAACATCACGCCCATACTGCAGCTGCCTGCAACAAAGAATAGCCATCTCCCGCGGATGAGAAGCATATGGCGAAAATGCGTGTGGATTGCTAACTAGCCACTGGCAAGCCATTTATTCCATTGCACTTTTTCAATTGAAATGTTATGTACAAAATTGAGTTAACATTTCTCTTTAACTAATTCAATCACTTTTGTAGTATTGGTCAGTTCTATCGTTCATTATCAGAGTAAATCCTGCATTATCTTTCTCTGCCCCTGAACCATGTGCTCCTCGCGCGTAATTCTTTGTCCTCATGAGTTCCATCCGGGTTACTTAAAACTGAAGCGAACATGCACGCCATACCCAACAAGTCTATTTGCCCTAATTTTTTAATTGCTGAAACAACTTCACAAGTAGCCAGATAATGTTGTGCACGGGACGACCAAGCTTAGATGTTTAGTACAACTAGTTAGCTATATTATAAACTAATATTCAGTTGGCTTCTTGGCTGAGTATTCAGAGATACTTTGATTAGCTAGCTAGCTACTCAACCCCAACGTACCCTAAAAACGTATGCTATACTGTCGCTAATAAAATCAAATGTTAGTTGGTTAGCAAGCTATTTAGTGATTCCAAAGTCCAATAGCATGGCTTACGTCACTTGTTGCTCAGACGTAGTTATGCGAGTGAGCACGCTAATAGCAAATATGTTGTGTTACAGTACTAGCCTCCATATACTCGAGAAAAAAAAGTGCCTAGTGTCTCAAGCGACCTACTGTTAGTAGATAGCTAAGTTAGCAAAAGTAAATAAATACCTTTCTCAGCCAAATAATCCTTAGGAGCCATGCTTTCAGATGAAATATGTCGAATAGTTGGGTAATGTGGCTTGATTTCGACCCCAATTTACTAAGTATTATTATTTTTTTAATAAAAAAGGATTCAGCACCAACAATTCATTCACTAAGTCGGAGGTCCCACTGCAAAAAAACTGGCGCGAGTCTGTCGTCTGCACGCACCAATCAAAATGCGTATTTCTGTTACCAAAGGTGTGGCTTCGCTGTGGCGCGAAAAATGCAGCGATGGTTGGTTACATGTACAGCATAATTCAACAAACTTGTACACTTTACGTCATCCGTGGCGCGAAAAGTTTGAGGTTGCATATCATGTTTTTTTATGGGATCATTTAGCTGCCGAAACTCAATTGGTAATGCAAATAGACAAACGATTAATCAAATCAATATGTTTGCAATTCCAATTGAGTTTCCGCAACTAAATGATTCCATGAAATAACATGATATGCAAGCTTAGATGTTTAGAAAATAAATAGCAAAATGTGTTTAATATTTCATTTCCCTGGTACTATCCAGTACAACACACAAATTATTTCTCATGTTTGCCATTTAATATTGTTGTGACAGCATGAGTTGTGGGTCCATGTAGGCTTTGTTTGTTACTTTAATTTCCGAGTCAAAACTGAGAATGGAAAAACGGATAGATAACGGCTTGTTTTTGGTTTCTGAATTTGAAAAACAGAAATTGAGTTCATTTATAGTGTAAAATTTGGACATGGAATAACGGAAAACAAATAAACTATTACATTTTTGTCTTGTTCTACCCAGAAGTACACCCCCCTCATAATATTAACATGGTTTAGGGGTTGTGTTTATAACCTAGGTTGGCATTACAAAGAAAGGATTAAACTGAGTGTGACAGGAAGATAAAAATACTAATGTTAGCTAAGAAGCAGAATTTATTAAGTTAGCATGCCAATAGAACAAATTCAACAGAACAAAGTTGGTTAGCACTAGTTGGCTACTGGCTAGCTAGCCCTACCTGGTTACTGGCTATAGTCATGCTAGCTAGTGGAAGTAAGTTAGTCCCTCAACCTTATACAAGATGAAGCTGCCCAGCCAGAGCTACCAAATACAGAAAGGTCTGATTTCTCCATTAATTTCTGTAGCTAAGTTAGCTAGCTCTTTTGTCAGCTGATGGTATTTGTCAGTAATAATGAACAACAGTTACTGTAAATGGTTAACTATCTGGCACTTTGCATTGCTAACTTAGATATTTATTACACATACAACAATGTCCAATTAAGCTAAAGTCAGTGTTGATGTGTGTGGGAGTTCGGGATGTTCCCGTAGGAGAAAAGCACACTGGCATCTGAGCAGATAATCATGAACTTCATGTAGTTACATCAGCCAATTAAAATAAGCCTTTTTATTGGTATGGGTATACGTCATCAACATCCTTTACTGCTCACTGAAAGGCAGGTGTAGGCTATACTCTTCAGTTGTGAACGCGACTATTGCGGCGACAATTGGCCCACTTCTCAATGTATACAGCAGGAAATGCAAACTTGTAGTGTATTTGATGTTTAAAATAGAAATTAAACTTTAGAAGCCTTTTTAAAGTGTCAGACTTGATTTTCCCTAACTATTTTTTTATCAACCCTTACAAAAATGTATTATAATATAATATGCCATTTAGCAGACGCTTTTATCCTAAGCGACTTACAGTCATGTGTGCATACATTTTTACATATGGGTGGTTCCCGGGGATCGAACCCACTACCTTGGCGTTACAAGCGCCATGCTCTACCAATGGAGCTACAGAGGACCACTGTATTAATTGTAATCTACATTTCCTGTTGCTGCAGGATTCTTTTCGACGACACCATTCACACAGTTCAGTCACTCAGCCCTATCCAGTGGACATGATGCTCTCAAGGTCCTGCACTACCGCCTCCTACAATACCCTGATGAGAAGCAATAATCCTGGCCCCATGACTGTAAGTGCATATCTCTCTAACCCTGCTGTACCCTACTGTGCTGAGACAATATGACTCTAGAACAGTTTTGTTACTATTTTAAATGGAATGCTCAACAGTGATTATCTCACCCACTCTCAATTCAATTCAAAGGGGCTTTATTGGCATGGGAAACATATGATAACATTGCCAAAGCAAGTATAATAAACAATCAAAAATGTACAGTTAACTCTCTGTCTTGACAATCCTCACAGTTCCCTCACAGATGTTCTGTAGACTGGTAGATGGCACCTGCAGACCTGTTTGAGGGACAACTGGACAGAACATATCAGAATCTGAGATCCTCCTCTCCTTTCCCCGTCCTTCAAGGAAAGCCCATTCTCTACACTTCCTGTTAGGCATGATGCTCAAAGTGTCTCTCCATTTCTCCCATGTCATGTGTGAAGCTGCCCGGCCAGAGCTACCAAATACAGAAAGGTATTGACCCCTAGACACTTTCAAATTGTTTGCCTGTGAATGGTTGCCAACCTCATCAAGCTATTTGCTTGTTACCTGTGTGTTTAAAATAATGCGTCCCTCTCACAGAACCTTAATTACATCTATTCACTACTGGCCAAATGCAGTCACCATCCACTTCAGCTAGCATTTCCTGTTTTCATGCCTGTTTTACAATTTCTTTGGATGAAGTGTCAAAAATGTGACAGGCATTATTATATTATTATTATTATGCTTATGTATGTGTTGGTACTCTATGTACAAAAAGGTATCCAATATCCTTAAAATCTGACATGGGTAGAAGTTACTAACATTAATCCTGCATTAAATCTCATATGGATGAATTGTAGTGTATAGAATAACCAGTGTTGTACAATTTGTAATCCACTAGATGGCAGTAATGTCCCACCACCTTCAAATAAGTCTGTTTTTCTGTTCACCCTTCAAGTACTGAGCAAATGTCAAAATTAATGAAATTCCCTGAATTTGCATTGCGAATGTTGCTTTGATGGTTACTAGATATGACACATGCAAAGTTCAAGTGTCATACAAAGTGGGTAATGCTGAGCCCCCAACTCCTGTCTGTCACTTAATCCATTAAATATCTTAAACATATAGAGTTTAAGGTGTGGTATATACACTATCAGTCAAAAGTTTTAGAACACCTACTCATTCAAGGGTTTTTCTTTATTTTTACTATTTTATACATTTGAGATTAATAGTGAAGACATCAAAACTATGAAATAACATATGGAATCTTGTAGTAACCAAAAGTGTTCAATTAAAATATATGTATATGAGATTCTTGAAATAGCCACCCTTTGCCTTGATGACAGCTTTGCACACTCTTGGCATTCTCTTAACCAGCTTCATGAGGTAGTCACCTGGAATGCATTTCAATATACAGGTGTGCCTTCTTAAATGTTAATTTGTGGAATTTATTTCCTTCTTAATGAGTTTGAGCCAATCAGTTGTGTTGTGACAAGGTAGGGGGGTATACAGAAGATAGCCTTATTTGGAAAAAGACCACGTCCATATTATGGCAAGAACAGCTCAAATAAGCAAAGAGAAACGACAGTCCATCATTACTTTAAGACATGAAGGTCAGTCAATACGAAACATTTCAAGACCTTTGAAAGTTTCTTCAAGTGCAGCTGCAAAAACCATCAAGCGCTATGATGAAACTGGCTCTCATGAGGACTGCCACAGGAATGGAAGACCCAGAGTTACCTCTGCTGCAGAGGATAAGTTCATTAGAGTCACCAGCCTCAGAAATTGCAGCCCAAATAAATGCTTCACAGAGTTCAAGTAACAGACATCAACATCAACTGTTCAGAGGGGACTGTGTGAATCAGGTCTTCATGGTCGAATTGCTGCAAAGAAACCATTACTAAAGGACACCAATAAGAAGAAGACTTGCTTGGGCCAAGAAACACGAACAATGGACATTAGACCGGTGGAAATGTGTCCTTTGGTCTGGTTCCAACCGCTGTGTCTTTGTGAGACGTGGTGTGGGTGAACGGATGATCTCTACATGTGTATTTCCCACTGTAAAGCATGGAGGAGTTGGTGTGATGGTGTGGGGGTGCTTTGCTGGTGACACTGTCTGTGATTTATTTAGAATTCAAGGCACACTTAACCAGCATGGCTACCACAGCATTCTGCAGCGATACGCCATCCCATCTGGTTCGGGCTTAGTGGGACTATCATTTGTTTTTCAACAGGACAATGACCCAACACACCTCCAGGCTGTGTAAGGGCTATTTGACCAAGAAGGAGAGTGATGGAGTGCTGCATCAGATTATTGGCCTCCACAATCCCCCAACCTCAACCAAATTGGGATGGTTTGGGATGAGTCGGACCGCAGAGTGAAGGAAAAGCAGCCAACAAGTGCTCAGCATATGTGGGAATTCCTTCAAGACTGTTGGAAAAGTATTCCAGGTGAAGCTGGTTTGGAGAATGCCAAGAGTTTGCAAAGCTGTTATCAAGGCAAAGGGAGGCTATTTGAAGAATCTCAAATATAAAGTGGGGAGAACAAGTATTTGATACACTGCCGATTTTGCAGGTTTTCCTACTTACAAAGCATGTAGAGGTCTGTAATTTTTTTATCATAGGTACACTTCAACTGTGAGAGACAGAATCTAAAACAAAAATCCAGAAGATCACATATTATGATTTTTAAGTAATTCATTTGCATTTTATTGCATGACATAAGTATTTGATCACCTACCAACCAGTAAGAATTCCGGCTCTCACAGACCTGTTAGTTTTTCTTTAAGAAGCCCTCCTGTTCTCCACTCATTACCTGTATTAACTGCACCTGTTTGAACTCGTTACCTGTATAAAAGACACCTGTCCACACACTCAATCAAACAGACTCCAACCTCTCCACAATGGCCAAGACCAGAGAGCTGTGTAAGGACATCAGGGATAAAATTGTAGACCTGCACAAGGCTGGGATGGGCTACAGGACAATAGGCAAGCAGCTTGGTGAGAAGGCAACAACTGTTGGCGCAATTATTAGAAAATGGAAGAAGTTCAGGACGGCGGTCAATGACCCTCCATGCATGGCTCTATGCAAGATCTCACCTCGTGGGGCATCAATGATCATGAGGAAGTTGAGGGATCAGCCCAGAACTACACGGCAGGACTTGGTCAATGACCTGAAGAGAGCTGGGACCACAGTCTCAAAGAAAACCATTAGTA